ATAAACAATATGTATTTACTTATCACCTAGCTTGTTGTCTCTTTAACTAACTTTCAGGTCGACACAAATTAGAGGCTCAAAACACAGGGTTTTTTTCTATATCATCCTTTTATATCCTACTGAGGGGGCAGCTCTCCCTGGCTCAGTGGCCAATTATCTTTGACACAGACCCAAGTCGTGGTGACAAATAGTGACCAATCAGGAGTGGCTGGTCAAGCATGTCCTTTAGCAAGAGTCCAGAACATACATCTTACCAGGAGGGGCCAGGGTAAAACCCAGCTTGATGGGAAGTGTTCAAGTCTGATCCTTTGCTACACATTCTATAGGAGAGCAACCTTGTACATATAAACACATAAAATAAATAAATACAAGGTCATTTTGGGATAGTGACAGGGGTGTTCTGGTAAACATTTAACAACCTGCTCTCTGGGGGGAAAAATGCACAAGTTTAATCTGCATTATTAACAGATTCTACCCAGCCAGAGATGGTGAAGTATGAAACTCATGCCATATGTATGCAAATAAAAGCATTACTCACTCTTGCTGCATATTTGGAGAATATAAGTGCCAATATGCCTGGGGAACTTGGATGTGTTGACTTCCTATCTCTGGGATGACATAGTAAAACTATTTCACATCTTACTGGTGATTGTCTATTTCACCAGGTGTGCACAAGTATACCCAACAAGAAACCGGAAAGCAAAATGTTGTGGGAAATTGTTTTTCCCCCCGTGTATAGATTTCCTGGGCAAAAAAAAAATAGAATCAGTACAAGGTACTCAAGGAAAATCTAGCATCTACAGACATCAGAAAAGTCTAGAACTCTTACCATCCAACAAAGAAACCCACAGCCTGAACATTTCTATCACACACTGTGGAACAGGGTAGCCTGAGACCAGATTGAAAAGCTAGGTAGAGTTAACTGTGTCATTTTTAATGTATGCAATTCTAGCAGGAATGGTGCTTACAGGTGTTACACAATGTTACTGATCATAATTGGGCAAGAATTACAATTACTATTGACTTGCATTTAGGAACTTTGGATAAAGGAAGTGATTATACTTACACTCATACTCAATGCATCTCTCACTTGGGAGAAAAGCTGAAAGAAACCTTTTGTTCTCGCTGTGAGGTGGAAAGCCTATGTCTGGCAGCCCCCTCACTAAACCTCACATGGGTCCCCTGTGTATGCTCCTAGACCTAGGCTTTCATTGTAATACTGTGTTTTATATTTTCATGTGTTCCAGCTATTCCCCACGACTAAACTGAAAACTTTTTGAAGGCAGAGCTCTGTCTTATTTTGATCTCTGCACTATTTTAACATGGAGCACACTACTCATGCCCTCTTCATAACTTATTTGAATAAAACTGATTTTAGAATGACTTCAGCAATCAATGAGGCTAGACTAAATCAAAGTATGAAATTATGAATTTGGGAAAAGAGTCTTGTATTTGAGTTCAGGAAGACCTAGGTTCACATCTTGCTTTAGTGTTCACTAGGAAACCATAGGCAAATCATTTCCCCTCTTACAGCCTCAGTTTTGAGGAGGTTTAACTAGATAAACTCTAAGGCTCCTTCCAACTCTTCTATGTTCTATATCCCTTCCGGCTCTGACATTTCGATTCCAGAGCCTCTTCTAGCTCTAACCATCGAGGTTGCAACGTTCTGTCCCAGTTGGTGAGTGCCTCAGGTGATCCCTTATGTCTAGGATGACTCCACATCACTTTACACTCCCTGCCCAGAGATGTTCTCCTCAGCTACTTGTATCCTCTGCACATCCTGGCCTTCCCAGTTCTGGAGCCATAATGAATTTGATGCAGCCTTTGCTACTGAAAAAGATGTGTTAGTTAGTCTACTCTGTTAGGGATCCACTCATCTTCCCTGTAACGTTTTGAACTAAAATACTGCCTCCCTGTCCATTCTCCTACATGTGTTGTCTCCCCCTATTAGAATGCAAAATCCTTTGAAGGCAGGGACTGTCTTTGCCTTTGCACCACACCTGACAATCAGACAAGAACACTGATTAATACACTGATTAAGTGCCTACTATGTACCAGGCGCTGTGCTAAGTGTTAAGGATACAAAAACACAAAAACCAGTAAAAGAACTTACATTCTAAGGGGGAGACAATATGTAAACAACTCTGTACAAACAAGATATACAGTGGTTGCTTAATGAACGTCTTTTCAACCATTTTATGTTCTGAGGTCCCGTACAACTCTGACATTCTATGATCCTGCCACTTTTTTTCTGATAGCTGGTCCTAGGATCTTTTTCTAATATGCTTTATTTTTTCCTTCATGAACTTTATACGCTTCCAAATCACCTTTTCTTCTGGAACCTTTCCTGACCGCTCAGGATCCAGTATCGTCAATTACCTCTGCGCCTGCGCAAAGTTCTCTACTCTTCCCCTCCCCACCCCGTCCCCTTTCTCGTCTTAGTATACGTTTGCGTCGGGGGCGGAGTCTCGAGCAGGGACGGGCACTCGCTTCAGGAAATGCGTCACTGACGGAAGAGCTTTGGACCGGATGTTGTGGAAATCGCTTCCTTGTTTTTTCCGGAAGTCGGAGGAAGGGAGAGATTCGCGGCAATGGCGTCGGGAGTGGAGGCTGAGGTAGTGGGAGTGCTGACTGGGGGAATTGGGGACTCTGGGGAGGCCGGAGGCCCGGGGCGGCGGGGAGGGAAGCCGGGTCTGGCTGACTGTCCCTTTCGCGGTGCAGGCCCGCACAGAGACCCCGGAGGACGAGGAGGAGGAAGAGGAGGAGCGGCCGCTGACCGCGGCCGAGGCGCGGGCTGCCCAGAAGCGAGAGGAGAGACTGAGGAAGTTCCGGGAGCTGCACATGAAAAGGGTAAGTCAGGCCCGGAATGGGGGTGTGGATGGGGTGATGGGGGGAGGGGCCGTGGCCTTGACCTGCCTCGGAGCTTCTCTGTCACCGAATGTCGGGGCCTGGACGGCCTTTTATCAGCCAGGCGGCGTGATGATAGAGCTCTGAGAGACCTGAGGGGAGCTCGGATGCCTCCCAGCTGTAGCACCTCTCTCAGCCTCAGTTTTCTCCTCTGTAAAACGGGGGCAGCCACTTCGCGGGGTTGTTATGAGGGTATCACGAGATAATATGTGTAAAGCGCTTTGAGAACCTTCCAGCCACATATGTATGCTCGTTGTTGCTAACATCAACAAGGGTAACGAACAGTTTTTAAGTAGTTGATGGAGAGGCAGTCCGGCGTGATTATTAGAGACGAGAAGACCTGGCTTCAAGTCCTCCCTCCCTGAGACTGTCACCTTGTCAAGTGACTTAAACTTAGTTTCTCATCTGTCACATGAAAGGGGGTGGGATAGATGGCGTCTGAGGGCTGTTCAGAGTCCTAATCTATGATCCTGTTAAACACTTAGTAATAACGACTAGCATTTATATAGCCTTTGAGGTTTGCAAAGCACTGTACATATTATCTCATTTGATCCTCCCAACCACCCCGTGAGGTAGGGTGCCCATTTTCCCTAGTTCACAGACGAAGAAACAGGCTGACACAGATTAAGTGACTTTTCCTTTGTTGAAAGAGGATTTTTTTAAGCACCAAAGGTGGTCTGTTAAGAGTGATCATAACTACATTTTGTTCTTTGTATTTTCCTTTTTTTTTTTCCTGTGTGAAGTCTCAATCTTGCACTGCAGGGACAGCTTAAAAGCAAAATGTCTTTCTCTTCTATAGCTGCCTTCCCAATTGATTTATGACTACAAAAGAAAAATCAGAGGATTTTGATAGTTCAAGAAAGTTGTCATTTTCTGTATTCTATCTGATAAGACTTAGTGGATGCTTAACAAACCACATTGACCTGACTTATAAAGAAAGTATCATCTCCTTTGTTCTAGTGTAAATGACTGTGCTAACAAGGACACGGCTTTCCTTTGTAATAAGTGATAAGCATCCTTTTGTTGTAATAAGTACCACATATGAGTAAATTAAAAATATATAAAATATAAATTTTGTGCAGGAAGGGGAGGTACTAGGTGCTGGGAAATTAGAAGAGGTCTGTTAGTGTCTGGCATGGGGTAGGTGTTTAATAAATGTTTGACTGGCAGCTGAATTGTGCTTTGAAGAATTTAGAAGGCTGGGGAACATCTATTATGCCTTCTTCATTTGATACTCATTTACAAATGCCTGATTCTAGGGCAAAAAAAAAAGTTAAATTAAAAGTCTTAAGTATAAATATGACAGCCTAAGGTATAAGGCTTAGGTGTAAATCTAGTCTCCTTGCCCAAGACTAAGAGTTAGAGGTGAAGGAAGTGTGAATTCTAATGGAGAGGGGAGGGGCAGCAAGGGCAGAGGCACAGAAAATTGTATGAGGAAGAGCCAGTGGGGCCAGTGAGGCTTGAAAGTGGAAATATGTAATCAGCTTGGAAAGGCAGGCTGAAGCCTGATTGCAAAGAATTTTAAATATCAAACAAAGAAGATTGTATTGTATCCTAAAGGCAGTAGGGAGCCACTGAGTCTTTTTGAGACCTTTGGAAATAGGATGTCAGAGCTGAAAGACAGCTCACAAAATGGAATGTCAGAGCTGGATGGGTCATAGACCCTTAGTCTCAGAGACGACCTGAGAACATCAGATGTCAGAACTGGGACCTTCGAGTGGTGTTCAGGGCCAGGGAGGGACCAGAAACAATCTAGTTCATGCTCTCATTTTAAATGAGGAAACTTGAATCCCCAAGAGGGGCAATGACATGTTCCAGATCACAGAGCTATATAGAGGTAGTACAGTAACCAGAACTCAGGTCTAATGGGGAAAGAGGACACATCACCTTTTTTTTGTCCATTCAGCTTAATTCAACATGCGCTTATTTTTTTTAATTTTTATTTATTCACTATATTATATATTATTGTTAATATATATTTTATTTTTTGATTTATTTTTGATTTTCAACATTCATTTCAATAAGATTTTGAGTTACAAACTTTTTTCCCCTCCCCAAGATGGCACAAAATCTACCATAGGCTACATGTGTATAATCATATTAAGCATATTTCCAAACATTAGTTATGCTTCAAAAGAAGAATCAGGACAAAAGTCCCTTTCTCAACATGTGCTGAAGTGCCCACCAGGTCCAGGTCTTGTGCTTTGGTCAGGGTGGGGACAGAAACTACATATACTAATGCAGGTTGGAACTCTCTGCTACTTAGATTTCCAGAGAGCTGCTCAAGGCCCTAAAAAGTTGTGACTGCCTCTGGATCACAAATCCAGTATATGTCAGAAGTAGAATTTGAACCTAGGTCTTCCTGACTCTATTGCATCTCCTCTGCTTTGGAAACAAAGATGACACTCCCTGCTCTCAGAGCTAAAAACCAAAATGTAAATAAACAGCTGTTTTACAAGCTAGGTTATTAAGTGGAAGCTTGAAACAGAGAGGTCTGCAAGATTCAGATTTCCCATGGGGCAGTCATTGAAGGTTTCCTGGAGATCCTGGCACCTGAGCTGGGCCTCAAAGGAAAGTAATAGTTTCACCAGGCAAAGATGTGAGTGTCTTCTAGGCCTAGTGAATGAAATGCACAGTAGCAGGAGGTCTGGGCATGATCCCACAAGTAGCTTCCTTATTGGGCTTTCTCTCTCCAGGCTGTATCAAGTCCTCCAGGCAGCTGCCAGGGCAATCATTCTAAGCCACAGGTCTCACCATGTCATGTCCTGCTTAAAAAAAAAAATCTGTTACTTCTGGGATAAAATAGAAACTTTCAACCTGATATTTAAGGCCTTTTGCAGGCTGACTCCAACCTGGCTTTTCCATTCTTCCTTTACATCACTTACTTCACACTAGATGTTCTAGTGAATCTGGCCTACTAGCTATTTCCTGAATCCCTCATTTTATCTGTTGCCTCTGTCAATTTAAATTGCACAAATAGATCCGTATGCTTCATCTTGGCCTCTCAGAATGACTCCTTGTCTTCCCTCAAGACTAGCCCAGGCATGACCTCTTCCTTAAAGAACTTCCTCATCCTCCCATTGGTCAATGCACTCCCCTCTCCTCAGATGAGGAGTAAGTATTTACTTACTTGTATATGTGTTTTGTCCACAAAATAGAATGTAAGTTTCTTGAGGTCAGAGTATTTGTATTTGTCTGTTTCCAGCATCTAGCACAGTGCTTTTAGGCGCATAGTTGGGGCTTTCTGAGACTAGTTTGGCTGAAGGGAAGAGCATATGAAAGGAGTTAGTGTGAATGGGCACTTGTGGGGGATTGTGTAGCCAAGATGCTTGTTCAAGAACAGGTTGGATTAGATGCCTCTTGGGTCCCTTCCAGCTCTGAGCTTCTGTGACAGCAGATTTGAAAGGTAGGCTGGAGCCACATCATAGAGACATGACTAGTAGCTTATGTTTTATTCTGTGAATAGTGGGGATCAGCTGAGGGGTGTTGAGGTGCTGAGCTTCATGATTAGATCTGCCCATTAAGATTATTTTTGTATTGGAGTGGAGTTCAGAGTGAAGGGGAAGAGACTGTAAGCCATGATGGGCATGGAGGGGACAGCCAGTGCAAATGCACAGAGAGTAGGTGAGGCAATACTGTGTTTGAAGAACAGCAAGAAAGCCAGTTATTTAAGAGCATGAAGGGGGTAATAGATAAGGTTGGAAAGGTCATTTGGAGCTAAGTCTTAAAGGGCTTTAAGTTCCAGACAGAGGACTTTGTGTTTGAGCCTAGAGGAAATCCCGGCTGCCACTGAAGTTTACTGAGAAAGGGGCTGACGTGGTTATGGCCTGTGCTTTGAGGAAATCAGTGCTCTGGGAAGGATGGCTTAGAAAGGAGAGAGCCTGGAGTTAAGCAGACCAATCAGGAGACGTAGAGTAGTCCAGGCAAGAGATGACTACAGAGAACTGTGCTCTGACCTAGAGTAGAGCCTGTGTGAGTGGCGAGGAAGGGAGCAATGCAAGAGATTAATCAGTGATTCATTAAGTACTGACTACAGCGTGCGCACACCCCCCCAACCCCCGCTTTAAGGAGCTTACATTCTGATGGAAGATGTTAGCAGTTGGGAGAATTAGGAAAGACTTCATCTAGAAGATGGTGCTTGAGCTGAGCCTTTAAACAAAGGTGAGCAGACAGTGCATTTAGGCATGGAGATAGTACATGGAGTGTTGTGTGTGGAACGGCAGGTCAATCAGTATGGCTGGACATAGATTGTGAGGGAGGAGTAGCGTGTAACAAGAATGGAAAGGTAGGAAGGCCCTGGGTTGTCAAGAGAATTCAGTGTCAAACAGGGGAATTTCAGTTTGATCCTAGAGATAATAAGGAGCCAGCCACTGGGATTTATTTAGAAGGGGGCTGACGTAGTGAGACCATCACTGTAGGAAAATCATATCAGGGGCTGTGTGGTTGATGGATTGGAGTTGGGAGAGGCAGGGAGACCAAAGAAGTGGCTATTGTAGTGATCCAGGAGAAAGAGCCTGTTGGCTTGAATAAGGGGGATTGCTGTGGGAGCGGAGGAGGAAGTAGAAACAAGGTGGAGCAGCTGGTTGGCTGTGTGGGATGAGTGAGAGTGAAGAGTCAAGGGCAAAACCAAGATTCCCATCCTCACTAACTGGAAGGATGGCGAGTGATTGGCTGTGCACTTGAGAATGACAAGCAAGCTCACTGAGTCTGGATATTCATTTCTCTTCTCTTACTATTTTTAGTGAGCTAGAGCATTCCTTCATGTGGTTGTCAGTAGTGTGCAGTTCTTCTGAGAACGGTTTGTTCGTGTGCTTTGACCACTTGTCTTATTGTCTTATTTTTCTAGATTTGCAAAGCATTTCCCCCTCCAGATTCCCCTGTAAGATAAATAATGCAAAACATTGTCCCCATTTTTCAAATGAAGAAACTGAGACAGACATTACACAAATTGCCTAAGGACACATAACTAATATCAGAGTGGAATTCGAACACAGGTCACCTGATTCCAGTTTTTAATCCCTAGCTCACCTTCTTAGTATTTATGTGACCTTAAGCAAGTCACTAAAACCTTTTTGAGCCTCAGTTTCTTCAGTAGAAATGTAAAATGAAGGTGTTGAACTGCATGACTTCTTAAATCCTTTTCCAGTTCTGAACCTGTTCTTTTCATTAGAATAATACTGTGTCTATTTCTATTTTTCTCCTATTTGTCTGTCTAGCTCTTAGTAACCATTTGGTAAATTCAGTTGAAAAATATTTCTGCATTTAAAACTTGCCCCCCATTCCTCATGTTTTTACAGTGAGTAAGAGGCTCTGGGAGGATCTTGAGAGGTGTTCTTGGCCCAGAGACTCTAGACTCACATAGTGGCGTTTAGTCCAGAGTTTTCAACTTCCACGCTAGTCTTGTGGTGGCGACACATTCTTCTGTGTTTTCAGAATGAGGCCCGAAAGTTAAATCATCAGGAGGTTGTGGAGGAAGATAAAAGGCTCAAGCTGCCAGCAAACTGGGAGGCTAAGAAGGCCCGTTTGGAATGGGAACTGCAAGTCGAAGAAAAGAAGAAGGTAAGTACAACCATCCTGTACTTCAGAGTGAAGGGAGTGTGCTGCCGAGGAAAGGGTGCTGAATTCAGAGTCAGGTGGCAGGGGTTGAACAGGTAGTACCTCTGTTTGGATAGTCACAACTTCTTTGAGCCTCAGTTTTTTGTTGTTTTTTTTTTAGGCAATTGGGGTTAAGTGATTTGCCCAGGGTCTCACAGCTAGTAAGTGTCAAGTGTTTGGTCTGAGGCCGGATTTGAACTCAGGTCCTCCTGACTTCAGGGCCAGTGCTCTATCCACTGCACCACCTAGCTGTCCCTGAGCCTCAGTTTCTTCAGCTGTAAAATGAGATGGCTAGATTAGATGATTTCCACAGTCGATGCCAACTCTAAACCTGTGATTCCTTGTGGAATCAGACTTCTTTTTAAAGCTGAATCTCAAATCTTAAAACATTGCCTACTATGAAAAAGCACTTGGAAAATGTATTGGGGTCATTATTTATTCTTTTGAATCAGGTCATTAAATCTTAGGATTTAGAGCTGGAAAGAAACTTAGAGTCATCTCATCTAACTCTGGTTTTACAGAGAGAGCACATTAGTCCCAGGGAAGGAAGTGACACAGAAGAACTGAGACCCCAGACCAGGGTCATGGGATCATAGGATATTTACCTGGGAGGAACTTGGAGTGGAAGAAGGCAGCCACATATTTAGACCCACACGGTAGAAAAATCACTTTAGTAGGTCTCTGCAGGATGTATTGGAATGGGGACAGGCTTGAAGCTGGGAGATTATAGGAGATGATTGTGGTTGTTTTAGCAGTAAACTGGGAATGGATGTAAGAAATAATAAGATAACAAGATCTGGCAGCTGGTTAGATGTGTGGTATCAAGAAGAGTGAAGAGTCAGGGGTGACATAGATGTTCTAAAAGTGGCTGGAAGTGAAGTCTGGAGGTAATGAGCTGTGGTTTGGGCAGGTTTAATGTTTAGGTCCTTAAAAATGTCCACTTTCAGATGTCCAGCAGGCATTTGTGCTGTGGGGCCAGAGCTCAGGAGAGACATGGAAAGATAGTAATTGAACCCTGGAAAGCCTGGGTTTGAGTCCCATCACCACCCTTCAGTAATGCTGTAGTGTTGGCTCACCTCTCTTCAGGTGCCTCACGTGTAGAGTAGGGTAGTGACGTTTGCAGTACAGAGAGGCACTACGATATAGTGGTTAGAACATGAGGTCTGCAGTCAGCAAGGTCATTTTTTCTTTCAGTTGTGTCCAACTGTTCATGACTTCATTTGGCAAAGATACTAGAGTGCTTTGCCATTTCCTTCTTCAGCTTGTTTTACAGGTGAAGAGACTGGGTCGAACAGGAGTAAGTGACTTGCCCAGGGTCACACAGCTAGTAAACATCTGAGGCCAGATCTGAACTCAGGAAGATGAGCTCCAGGCCTGGCACTTTATGCACTGTGCCACCTCGCTGCCCTGGAGTCAGGAAAACCTGAGATCAAATTCTACTTCAGATCTTCCTACCTGTGTGACCCTGGGCAGGTCGCTGTGTCTCTTGATCTCAGTTCTTCATCTGTCAGATAAGGCAGATGGACTTCATGGTCTTTAGCTGAGGTCCCTCCCAGCTCTTAGTCCTGATCCTTTGATTTAATATCATGTGTGAAGCCTTTTGTAACTGAAAATATCACACAAAGATACAAATTCAGCTATTACTTTTTTTGTATTAGTTTCTGTAATCAAAACCATGTAAATAAGACCTTACATATTTGGTACAGTGTGTTACCTCTGTACAAATGGAAGAAAAATTAAGTTAACCGTTTCCAAACCAATATGGCTGTTAATTTCTGTACAATGCCAACTCAACACAGTACAAGTGGGATACTTTTTCCAAAGTTGACATCACAGCTAATAGGCATCAATAGCAGCAATAGCCTTTCCAGGTTCTGCAGTCATTGAACAAAATTATACACATTAGACTTTCAGCTCACTGTTTCCAAAACAAAAACAAAACAAAAACCCCTGAAAACGTCATCCTGCCCCAACAAAAAGTTTTCTTGTTGTTTTTTTTAAATCCCAGAAGAACAGCATTCTGTTACTGATGTGGTACCTTGCGCCTTTTAGTAGCTTCTCAATCATCATCTGGAAAAAACGAAAGTCTCTCTAGAATAACGTCATTAAAAACAGCTCTGGTATAGCACGGTCACTACTACGTATCATAAGCAGGTACAGAATAGTTTACATTCACAGAAGTATAATACAGTACTGTCCTACAGCTGTAATACTAGAGGATACAATTTAAAAGGCATTATCTGACTTGATTCTACTTTTCCAGCACAGAGTGGACCAGAAGGGTAGTGTGACACAGCTCTGATACAGAAATGTGCCTCCTTAATTTATACCAGGAATGCAGGGTTGGTTCAATATTAGGAAAATTATCAGCATCATTGAGCATATCAACAACAAAACCAACAGAAACCACATGATCATCTCAATAGATGCAGAAAAAGCTTTTGATAAAATACAACACTCATTCCTATTAAAAACACTAGAAAGCATAGGTATAAATGGAGTCTTCCTTAAAATAATAAATAGCATCTATCTAAAACCTTCAGCAAGCATTATATGTTATGGGGACAGGCTAGAAGCATTTCCAGTAAGATCGGGGGGTGAAACAAGGATGTCCATTATCACCACTGTTATTCAATATTGTACTGGAAACCTTAGCTTTAGCAATAAGAGAAGAAAAAGAAATTGAAGGCATTAGAATAGGCAAAGAAGAAACAAAGCTATCACTCTTTGCAGATGACATGATGATATACTTAGAGAATCCTAGAGAATCAAGTAAAAAACTACTTGAAATAATAAACAACTTTAGCAAAGTTGCAGGCTATAAAATAAACCCACATAAATCATCAGCATTTCTATATATTACCAACAAAGCCCAACAGCAAGAGATAGAAAGAGAAATCCATTTAAACTTACTGTAGACATTATAAAATATTTAGGAGTCTACCTCCCGAAACAAACCCAGGAACTCTATGAACACAATTACAAAACACTTTTCACACAAATAAAATCAGATCTAAATAATTGGAAAAACATCAGTTGCTCATGGGTAGGCCGAGCTAATATAATAAAAATGACAATCCTACCTAAGCTAATTTACTTATTCAGTGCCATACCAATCAAACTACCAAAAATTATTTTATAGAGTTAGAAAAAATAATAACAAGATTCATTTGGAAAAACAAAAGGTCCAGAATATCAAAGGAACTAATGAAAAGAAATGCAGGGGAAGGTGGCCTAGCAATTCCAGATCTTAAATTGTATTATAAAGCAGCAATCATCAAAACTGCTTGGTACTGGCTAAGAAATAGGGAGGTGGATCAGTGGAATAGGTTAAATATGCAAGACACAGTAGTCAATGACTATAGTAATCTATTATTTGATAAACCCAAAGACCCCAGCTTCTGGGATAAGAACCCACTCTTTGAAAAAAACTGCTGGGAAAACTGGAAAAGAGTATGGCAGAAACTAGGCATAGACCCAAATCTCACACCATATACCAAAATACAGTCAAAATGGGTTCATGACTTAGATATAAAGGCTGATACCATAAGTAAACTGGGAGAACAAGGAATAATTTACCTATCAGAGCTATGGAGAACAGAAGAATTCATGACCAAACAGGAGATAGAGAACATTATGAAAAGCAAAATGGATAATTTTGATTACATTAAATTGAAAAGTTTTTGCACAAACAAAGCCAATGCAACTAAGATTAGAAGGAAGGTAGAAAATTGGGAAAGAATTTTTACAACCAGTCTCTCTGATAAAGGCCTCATTTCTAAAATATATAGAGAAATTAAGACACACATATAAGAACACAAGCCATTCCCCAATTGATAAATGGTCAAAGGATATGAACAGACAGTTCTCAGATGAAGAAATTAAAGCCATCTATAGTCATATGAAAAAATGCTCTAAATCATTTTTGATTAGAGAAATGCAAATCAAAACAACTCTGAGGTACCACATCACACCTATCAGATTGGCCAACATGACAAAACAGGAAAATGATAAATGTTAGAGAGGATGTGGGAAAATTGGAACGCTAATACATTGTTGGTGGAGTTGTGAAATGATCCAACCATTTTGGAGAACAATTTGGAACTATGCCCAAAGGGCTACAAAAATGTGCATGCCCTTTGATCCAGCAATAGCACTTCTAGGGCTATATCCCAAAGAGATCAAACAAATGGGAAAAGGATCCACATGTACAAAAATATTCATAGCAGCTCTTTTTGTGGTGGCAAAGAATTGGAAATTGAGAGGATGCCCATCAATTGGGGAATGGCTGAGCAAGTTGTGGTATATGAATATAATGGAATACTATTGTACTCTAAGAAATGATGAACAGGCTGACTTCAAAAAAACCTGGGAAGACTTATATGATGCTGAGTGAAGTGAGCAGAACCAAGAGGACTTTGTACACAATAGCAGCCACGTTATGCAATGACTAAGAATGTTAAATTGAACCCTTCTCAGCATTACGAGGATCTAAGACATCTCCAGAGGCTTCGGGATGGAAAATGCTGTCTACATCCAAAGAAAGAACTATGGAAGTCGAATCGCTCTCACTTATTTTTACCTTCTGTTGAGTTTTGTCTCATCTTTCTGATGGTTCCTCCTATTGGTTTTAATTTTTACTTACAACTTCGCTAATGTGAAAGTATGTTTAATGGGTATGTAAATGTAAAGCCTGTGTCAGATTGTGCGTTGTCTTGGGGAGGGTGGGGGGGAGAAAAAGGCAGAAAAAATTTTCAACTCAAAAGCATATGGAAAAAAAAATTAAAAAAATAAAAATTAAAGAGATTTGGAAAAAAAGAAGAAATGTGCCTCCTTAGATAGGATTTCCATCGGCTCGACGCACAAGCTAAGTGCTGTTGCTCTACATGAATATCATCAGCTATTATTTTTTTAAAAGTACTTTGATCTTTTAGGAATGTGCTGCAAGGGGGGAAGACTATGAAAGAGTGAAGCTACTGGAGATCAGTGCTGAAGATGCAGAAAGATGGGAAAGAAAGAAGAAGAGGAAGAACCCAGATCTGGGCTTTTCAGGTAAATCCTTCTCATTGAATAGATTTCCTCTCGAAAGACATCCAGTGATTTAGGGTGAGGCACCTCAGTGGGCTAGACCTTCAAAGAGCAAGTCAGTGAGAGCTCCTAGCGTCAGGAGAATACTTAGACTCTCATACGAGGCCAGGTTGTGCCAGTGGAGCCCTTTTCAGCCCATCCATGCCTACTCGTCATGTTCTACAAATCCTCTGTAAAGCATCCGACCAGCTTGTTCAAGGCATCTGCTAGAGCTCTTCGGGATTACCAGTACAGCATGGAGTCTGCTCTTTGGTGGCACCACGTAGCCTACCCACTTCTCTTGTCATGCAGACCCTTCCTTCCTCAGTGATGCCTTCTTCCCTGCCTCTCATGTGGGTCATCTTTGGTAACATGCCATAGACTGTTTACTCTTACCAGATGTCTCTCCATTGGCCTTTGGGTCACCCACAATTTTGATTTTTCTGATATAGTTGTGTTCTATGAATTACAGCCAAATAGGATAACCAGAAGAACGTTGCTGTTAAAAAGGGGTGTGTGTGTGTGTGTGTGTGTGTGTGTGTGTGTGTGTGTGTGAACGTCTTGGGATCATTGAAAAGCCTTGTGTAATAACTAAAATGTAATTCTGCCTGCTGTCAAAAATACCAACATTTATACACCCAAGAGCCATCATCTTCTGGTTTGGATGTGGAGGACAGGCTTTGAATAGGTGAATGTTTTTCGTTCTTTGTGGCTGAAACTTTGTTAAAAATTATATCATGTTTCCTAGGAACAAGGACAGTAGTAGCATCCTGTCATTTTCAGGCATCTCTTAGGGGAAAGGTTTTCACTCAGTTAGTAATTACCGTTCCTACTCTCCTCCCCCAACTAAAGTCATCTTCGTGGCATGGAGGCAAGCCTGGTTGTATGCTAGCAGAGTTCAAGTTGTTTGACTTCTGCCAATCTGTGAAGGTGTCAGATATCAGCCTATGCTTGAGGACCAGCCTAGGTGAGTGAAGGGGAACTCATTAACCAGGCTGGCACCTTTTGGCCTTTCTCTAGCTCTTCAATCGACTTATCTGTGAACAGGGCTGGTGAGAGCTTCATCCATAAAAGTGATTGGAATGTTTTGCCCCTTCACAGTAGTGGTCAAACCAGAATTCGCTGGGTTGTCAAAGCCAAGGGGTTAAGTGTTAGAGTTGGAAGGATTTTGTAGACATGGTCTCCA